ACTCATTTTTACAGTCTTTGCCTAACAAATCCATTGGTCTTACTCTGAGACATTTTCTGATGGTTATGTTTTTTCCTTTGAGTCAGTTTTTGATTGGAAGTTAGGCATCTGAATATTATATAATATGGGCAATCAAAATCAGATTCTTCCCCCTTTCACAGGATTTGCTATTCCAGCTTTGTTTTCACTTTATTACTTAATTGCTGTAAGCTATCTCTACACCAGGAAGCAGCCTATAAACTTAAGATGTCATCAAATCTTTTGTGAGTCTGTGTCTTTCCTTGAGCATATGTGGTGACTTTCTAAGTTAACCTGTATATGCCGTTGCTTTTGAATATCTTAGTCCTTAAATGTCTTCTTCTCAAAAGTGGAAAAGCGAAGAGACAAAAGGTGCTGGCTCCATAGGCCTACTGGAGGCAGCTACAGCCACGAGGGAGTGGGGAGCATCTGTGTCTGCACCAATATAAGAAGCAGGTCTCTTAACTGAGCCATAGTAACCCTGAGAGCAGTGCTACAAAGGAAGCTTGGGTCCCCTGTACTTCTCAAGACCAGCAGACGTCCAGGAGGAAGATTTTATGGTGGGTACAAATTGTAAATATGCCCACAGAGACAAGGCAGGGATTCCAGGAAGCATGTTGAATTCTGGGATGGGTAGTCTAATCTCTCTGTATTATGCCTCTGAATGAATTTTTGCACACTGAGATAGCACTTCATTCACCTGTCCTATGGGTATGTGAGAGATGGCACAGTCAAGAGGGGATGAGTGCGCCCCGTAGATGAATCAACAGAATTTTTGAGGTGTTCTTCAGAGAAAAGAAGATATACTCTCTCAAAACTTCATGACTTATTCTATTGCTTAAAATGAGCATTGCTGACTCTGTCATCTTCAGTGCATCATACACCGAGGAGGAGTGGAGAGGCAAAGGGTGATTAGAAGAATGAGAATGTGTGGGCACGTGAGAGGGACCAGAGGAGGTTACCAGAGCATCCTGCCCAGAACAACGCTCAATAATAACTCACTGGTGGAGGAGCTGGGGAATGGGAGGTGTGGGAGGAGTAGGCAGGGAAACTTCTATAACCCTCCTCTTGGCATCAATAATTCTTCCAACTCCAAGAGATTCCCCAGACTCAAACAGCAGACAAGACCTGAGAGGCAGATTTGGAGGAAGAGCTTGGCTGAACAATCCCTAGAGAGCAGGAGGACAGGTAACAAAACCCAGATTCACAGAGGCAACATCCTTGTTGCTCTGACACTTTTTAAAGGAGCCTTCCTGACTGTAGTTCCCCCCCCTTCACATACCCCAGACCCCAGAACTTTACTCTCTGTGCCTTTCTACATAGCCTCATGAAAACAGGACATGTAAGTGAAAAACAAAGGAGGAAAGATAGGGGGCGCCGCTGTCAGTTCCCCGGAGGACTCTCCCGCTAGAGGAGGCTGAGCCTGGAACCTACAAGCCTCAGGTACCTTCCAGTTCAGAATGTTCACTCTGGCAGGTTCCACCAGCCCAAGTTACCTGGGTGGGCGACACTACTGGCCTTTCCTACTTAGCCTCTTACTAATGTTCCCTGTCATCCTCTTAAAGATCCACGGATTCTGTAGTGATGACCCCTTCTGAGGGCAGAACTCCCCAGGTGAATGCAGTTATTCTGGCCACACTTCAGTGACAGAGGCAGCGACCCACCCCTGCCTCCCAACACCCCCTCTTTTCTCTTATGACTCCCAGTCGATTTTCTTCCACTCTCAAGGAAGGTCCCTAATATTTAGAAGAATGCATCTTCACCCAGCTTTAACCTCATTTGTATTCTCCCTTTTCTGATCTCTCCTTCGTCTCCCCTTGACAGGTGAAACATAGGGGAACATTCTATTTAAAAGCACACTTGCAGCGCAGTTGTAATTAAATGTCCTTTCAGCAGTGATAGTTAGCAAACCCAGCCGCCTCAGCGGTGGGTGCGGCAGGAGCGGTGGTGACCTCTCACCCTGCTGCTTCACCACAAGTCAGTGCGGCAGTTGCTCCTCAGAGTCCAGTAACTGCCATTTATTTGTAATGGACCAATCGGGTGCGAGCTATCAGCTGATTGGTGCTAAAAGGTCCAATCAGACTTGTGGGTGGGGCACAAGGGGATATAAAAGCATTGGCGGCAGCTGAAGGAGATCCTGAAGGAAGAGGATGCCAGTCCCTGAAGGAGGAAGAAAGAAGAGGAATACTCCATTCCTGGCCTCTGAAGAAAGGAAAGGCAGCGTCCAGCAGCTGCCCTCCAAGGAGAGAGAGAAGCTAAAGGACTTTGGGCCCCATCCTGTCTCTGACGTGGCCTGAAGCGAGCCCCGAGGCTTGGCTGTGTCTCAGAGAGTGGTTGTTGGTACAACCCTACAACTCACAGAGCTGTTAACACGTGTGTTTCTGACACGGCATCTGAGGGACTAGTAGTGGCCATCGCTACTGGCCGGTGCTGTCCCAACTACTGGTGACTTGTGACCATTGCTGATGCTATCTGGGTGAGGGAGCTGCCACTTGCGGATGCAGTGAGCTCTTTGTCTCCCCTGTGTGTGAAATAAACCCTGTGGTTGTTGCTTCTGGAGCCTGAGGTCTCTTGCAATTGCACACACGGGTGAGGCCCAGTGACCTGTCCTCTCATAGGGCACTGTCCTGTGCTAGGCTATAGCCACAACCCCATTGTGTGGGTGCTGTGTTGCTGTAACCCCTGGTTTGGTTTTTGGCCTTTGGCCTTTTGAGGCTTGGGCAGCAGTCTGGTCTCAGAGCCAGCAGGTAGGTGGCCTTCCCATCCTTCGGTCTGGCCTCCTGCCTTGATGCCCTTTTATGGCCCTCTCTGCCCCAATTTCAATACATTGGATCTAGTATTTAAATTACAATTACCCTTTTTGATGAGGTAGTAGAGGTGACTTTTAAAAAAAAACACAATTAAACATTTAGAGTTCCTGCTTATTTCCAGGCATGTAGTTACTTTGTTCATTCACTCATTCCCTAATACACAAATAATTCCTGTGCACTATATTACTCAGAAAGAAATGAAAAAAGCAATGGGTATTGGCCTTGAGAAGTTAACCTGTAGAAGGTGAAACAGATATCACACCACCTTAATTTCCCCAGTGAGACCAGGAACAGAGCAGCTTCAAAAGGGTTCAGAAGCACACAGAAAGTGGTGGGTACCTGTGTATAGGTGTGTACCTGCAAGAACTCTGTTAGTGGCACACCTAGGAAGAAGTGCAGGCAGTAAAGGCTGCGACACTTTTTTTTTTTTAATATTTATTTATGCTTACAGAATGGGTACAAGCTAGAGGTGTGGAAGATGAGAGGATTCCCTAGAGACAGAGTGGGGAGCATAACAGTCAAATTGACAAAGTACACTGCTGAGGGAGCAGCGGGCAGGTCAGGAGAGGTCTGCTGCGCCATGTGGGTCAGCTCCCTAGCCAGGGATCAAAGTCATGCTGCAGTGGCTTTGGAGAGCTTCCTAATGCAGTGCTTTAACCCATTGTGCTATCAGGGAGAGCCCCGGCTGCCACATTTTTAATGTTAAAAATTGCATCACTAATATCTCTAGGAAGAGGGCATCTACCCTCACAGTGCTCTGAAGGTTGTGAAGATTTTCACTGACAAAGGTACATCCCCCCCCCCGTTCAATTATATTGAGATAAAATTGACATACCACACAGTAGTTTAAGGTGTACAGAGTAATGTCTTTTTTTTTTTTTAAGATTTATTTATGCATACAGAACTGGGGTACAGGCCAAAGATGCAGGGGCGGTGAGGAGTCACCAGAGACAGAGGCTGGAGCAGAACAGGCGGATCAACGAAATACACTCCTGAGAGGAGCAGCAGGAGGGTCAGGAGAGGTCTGCCGCACCATGTGGGTCACCTCTGGGGCAGGGATAGAAGTCATGCGGAAGTGGCTGCAATAGCTTGTTAGTGCTGTGCTTTAACCTGCTGAGCCACTAGGGAGGGCCCAAGACCTTCATTTTTAAGCTAGGAAGCCCTTCTTACAACAAGCTATAAGAAAATGTCAAGAAAGTTTTGTCCATTCCCAGAACACAACACAGCAAAATGGAAGTATATTCAGGATGTAATACTGGTTTGGAGGGAGAACACCTAACTGGAAAAGAGAGATAAAGGAAGGGTTGTGGAGAACGTGACAATTGAGCCATAACTGTCACTAGATGACTCCACTGTCCATGTTCCCAGCTCCTTTGTCCCTGCTCCTCTGCCTGAAGCCTTTCCTCACCTCTGGGATCCTCCTCCTTCCTAAACCCCCCCCCCCCATGAACTATCACCTACCCCTCTTCCTGCCCTTGCTGCAGAAATGACTCCTTCCTCTTCAGTGACCCCTCCTCTCTGAAGATCACAGAACCACCTCCTGGCACGGAGAGACACTGTGTATATTTGTGTATATGTTCCCATGTTTATTTACTTGCTAAATTCTTTTCCCTTTTAGCCTTGAGTCTCCCTGAGAAGGGTTTTTCTATTATTCAGCGCTAAAAAGGACTCCAAAGTCATGTTGTTAGATCCTCATTTCATCGATGAGAAAATTGGGACCTAGAAAAGTTTTGTGATTTGCCTAAGATCACTCAACTCGCTGTTAGAAAGGAAAGCATTTTAAAATCCAGTGCCTGAGGTGGGAAGATTTAAGGAGGAATAGTCAGAGGCCTGTCCATTAAAAATAGTGGACATAAAAAAAAATAGTGGACATATAGCTTTGTGGGAGATACGTGTCCCTGGCTGGGAATAGGGAGCAGCGCTGCTGAGTTTCTAGACACTAGGATCTGGGTCGCTTTCGGGGTCTCCAGCCTATGAGCAGGGCGCCTGGGTTTGAGACCTGGCGGGAAGCGGGGCGCCAAGCAGGGAGTGCAGAGGGAGGTCCTGGCTGCTAAGCTCAGCCTGGAAACGCGGTGGAGCAGCTGGGCGGGTGAGCGGTGGTGAGGTAGCTGCGCCGGGACCGAGGGCCCCCCACCCCCCACACACACCCACAGAGAATATTGCCTGTTGCAGAGACGGTTCGAATGCGATGGGTCCAGCGGCAGGCTGAGCCTGGTGGACAGATAAAACTATAACCGCGAAGAGTCCCTGCGCTTCGACAGCGACGTGGGACAGTGCATGCGGTGACCCAGCTGGGGCAGCGAGACGCCAGGGTCTGGAACCAGAAGAAGCAGGTCCCGAAGCGGTCGCGGGAAGAGGTGCACCGCGTGTGCAGACACAACTATCAGAGGGAGCACTCCGGAAACGCCGGGGTCAAGTGTGGTGGATCTCACCTGCGTCCAGGGAGGCCCGCGAGCCAACCCCAACCGACCGCAGGCTGTCGCCAAGGGCGGGAAGAGGACTTTGTAGCTGGGCATCCCTGGGGGAGGGGCGCTAGTCCCGGACTTGCTCGAGGTCCACGAGAGGACCCCAACGGGGCCGAGCATGAAATGGGATGGGATCCCTAGGAGTCCATTAAGCCTGGCAATTGGATGGAGATGTGGGCTGGAGTGACAGGATAACTTCCTGGTGGTGCGGGACATGGCCAACAGGTGTGTTGTCTTTACCTTGCTTTTACATCAGGGTGATATATATTAGAAAACATTCTAATATATATGTGCTTGAGAATGTGTATTCTTATGTTGTTAGGTATAAAATACTGTATATGTCTGTTGGGCCCATTGTCTATGCTGTTGTTTAAAACCACAATGTTGGGTGTTGTATCCATTATTGCAAGTGTGGTATTGAAGTCTCCTACTATTATTATGTTACTTCTAACTTGTGCTTCAGATTTGTCAATATTTGCTCTATTTAATTAGGTGTCCTGATGTTGTGGGCATTATATTTATAACTCTGACATCTTGTTGGGTTAATCTTTTTATCATTACCTCATGAACTTCTCTGTCTCTAGATACAGTTTTTAATTTAAAGTCTATCTTTCTAATATAACAAACCCTCTCCATTCCTTTAAATGGATTACCTTTTCCCATTCTTTCAATTTCAACCTCTGTGTGTCCTTAAATCTAAAGTAAAATTTTCATAAATAGGATCTTGAGGAGAGTCTAACCCATTTATATTAATGTAATTTACTGGGAAAAATCAAACTCATCAGGCAACTATAGATTAGAGACATTCTGTAGGGAGGAGGAGCAAGACAGGCGAGGAACTATGGTGATGGGGCCCTGGTGAATTGGTGGTTGGAATTTCATGGGGAAATCATACATTGTACAAAAATGAAGGCTGATGTAATGGATATATTAAAATAAAATTTTAAACTTAAAAAATAAAATATGCACGATTTTTTTTTAAGTAATTTACTGGGAAGATTTAAGATTGCATTATGTGAACTGCTTTGTATTTGCCTTTCAGTTCTGTGTCTTTTTCTCTGTCTTTCTTTATGTTCTATTTTTTTTTTTTTTTTGCATGACAGGCCTAAATTCTTTCTTTTTTATGTTGTGTGCCTTGTATAGGTATTTTCTTTGTGGTTACATGGGGCTTACAAAATATATGTATAGTTATAACAGACTGTTTTATGCTGATGACAACTGAAGTTCACATTCACAAAAATCCTACACCCTGACCTCTCTTCCCTTGCATTGTTATTGCTTTAAAACTTGCATCTATTTATATTATGTATCCACTAGTGTAATTTTAGTTGTTGTTATTCTAATGCTTTTTCTTTTTAACTTTTATAGTAGAATTAAAATAGAATTACTCACCTCTGATATAGTAAATAGTTTTCTGTAATGTCTATATACTTGCTTTACCAATGTGTTTAATGTTTTCTCTTTTTTAATGCTTTCTTATACTATAATTTAAACTATAACTTGAAGAATTCCTTCTAGCACTTCTTCTGAGCCTGGTCTAGTGGGAAAGGATGACCTTAAATTTTGTTTTTTAGAAAAAAAAATCTTTATCTCCCCTTCATTTGTAAAGAAGAGTTTTGCCAACTATACTATTTTTTGTTAGGAATTGTTTCTTTTAGCACTGTGAATGTTTCTTTTAGCACTTTAGCACCTGTTCTGATCTGCAAACTGTTTGCTGAGTGATCTACTGATGGGCTTATTGGAGATCCCATATATGTGACAAGTTGCTTTTTTTCTTGTATCTTTCAAGACTCTCTATGCTTTAACTTTTGACAATTCAGTTATGTATCTCAGCATTGGTTTCTTTGGGGTCAACTTCTTTAGTATTTTTTAAGCTTACTGGATCTGTGTGCATATTTCCTTTCCTGGATTCGGGGTGTTTTCGGTGTTTTTTTAATAAGCTTTCTCTCTTCTTCTGAGGTTTTGAAACTGTATACATTCATTCATTTGATTGTATTTTGAATCTCATAAGTTATCTGCACTCTTTTTATTCATTTTTTATGTATTTATTCATTTGTTTTATTATCTTTTGAATTCTGGTAATATTTGAATTCTTTCCATCAGGGATTACAACAATAATGTATCCACCACTAAATCATCCATAATCCACCACTCTAACCAATGTGCTTCCTCTTTCATTTTCTTTTGATTTTCTCACTAGATAATTTCCAAGAAGTTATGAGTTCACTGATCCTTCCTTCTGCTTGATCTAGTCTGATGTTAAATCTCTCTTTCAAAGTTTTCAGTCCAGTGTTCTTCAACCCTATGATTTCTGTTAATCATAATAGATGTCTACAGTCTTATTAAAAAACACAGGTTCTTTTAAACAACTGGTTTGCCCATTGTAGCCCCCAGAATCCTAGTGAATAGCAGGCCCTGTCAGTTCTCAGAAACAAGTTAGAAGCCTCTTTACCAGTAGTGGCTGGATAAGCTAGATGTATAGTCCAGCTCCTTCCAAACTGACACTAGAGATTTGATTCTATTGAGGGAGCAAGACAGGGAAAAGGTCACAGAAAGTGTTGACGTCCTGTTCACGCTCCTGGGGGTCTAGTGAGTGCCTGTCTCATCAGATTCCAGAGAAAGGGGTAGCTGCAGAAAAATTCCCTGATAGCTCTCAGAGACAGATAAATTAGAAGTAAAACCTGCTTGTTTTAGCTAGAAAGTATGGATGCTAGATGTGTAGTTGAAACTCTTTGTTCTTCTAAAAAAGTTGACAATTAGACTTCCCTCCCAATTAATCAATTTTGTATTGGGTAGGGTAAAAGGGAGGAGTAGGCTCTCCCTGGTGGCGCAGCAGGTTAAAGCACTGCAATAAGAAGCTTAAGCCACTTCCACATGAGTTCGATACCTGCTTGCCCCAGAGGAGATCCACATGGCGTGGCAGACCTCTCCTGACCCGCCCACTGCTCCCCTCAGCAGTGTACTCCGTCGATCTGCCTGTTCTGCTCCCCACTCTCCCTGGTGAATCCTCTCACCCTCCACATCCCTAGCCCAGTTCTGTATGAATAAATAAATCTTTTTTTAAAAGAAAAGGGAGGAGTGGCCCTCCCTGGTGGCGCAGTGGGTTAAAGCACAGCACTGAGAATCTAAAGCCGCTTCCACATGAGTTCGATTCCCGCCTGCCCCGGAGGAGACCACATGGCGTGGCAGACCTCTCCTGACCCGCCCGCTGCTCCCCTCAGCAGTGTACTTTGTCAATCTGCCTGTTCTGCTCCCCACTCTGTCTGGTGAAGTCTTTCACCATCCCTGAGTCTCTGGCCTGTACCCCAGTTCTGTATGCACAAATAAATAAATCTTTAAAAAAAAAAAAGGGAGGAGTATCTCAGTTTTCATACCATTTTCATTGAGATATTTTCTCAACTTATTTATAGGAATCTCTCAACCATATTTTCTGGATTTATCACAAAAGGAATGGATCCATGCATAATTGTCAATTTAGTGTGTCCCTTGTTGACATCACCCCTAAAGATTTTTTTTTTGTAAGCAATAAATGTAGGCATTCCTGTTCACTGATACATGGTAGCTGTTCTTTACCTTGAGCCATTAAGCTTATTCTGAATTATTTTGAGACATAACTGCCCAAGTCAGCAGTGTGTTCTTTTTGAAGTGATACACTAAACTCCAGAACTTGGGGTTCTTTTTAAGTTTATTCTTTTTCCTGTCTCTCCTTGTCCTCAAGCTGGTATTCTACATCAGGCTCCAGAATCTCCAATTGGTACCCTAGGGGTGCAATAAGAAGTGAATGCTGGGTCTCTTCTTTCTAGGGGCACCGCCCAATTCTTTCCAGGAAAAGGTGCTGGCCAGAACCACAATCTTTGTAGTAGAACTCATCTTCCTTACCATGAGCATCTTCCTGTTTATGGGGAGCATGAAAGGAAAGAAAGGCCGCGAGGTGACTGAAGATGTTTGCCTTTCTGTTGACTTACTCACACATCTTCTGTGTGAGTCCCTGTAGGTAAGGGGCCAACATCAAAAAGCCATGCCAGAGAATTCTGGAGCCCACAGAAATCAGATGGTCAAGAAGCAACATCCCCCCAAGTTTGGAATAATAATTACATGAAGTTGTGTTGGAGGAAACACGACATGGCATTATAACAGTTCCCTGCAATTAAGATCTGTAGGGGAGAGGAATCCCCTGACTGGAGTCTTTTCTTTTCTCCTCCTTTTTTTTTTTTTTTCCTGGCTTGAATCTTATCCCAGCCAGATGCATGAAGTCTCCAAGTGCTTAGGCTCATGCAGGGAGTTGGTTTCATAGTGGAGCAGTCTCCAGCCATCCCTGCCTTGGTTCCCATTAAAAGGATCATGGCACGTGATGACCAGGTAATACTGTGGCTTTGTTTTTCTCAAGGGGGCTGTAGCAGACAGATGTAAGTCCATTCATTGTGGTGAGAGCCCAGGGCACCCACTGAGAAGAAAGTCTCTGGCCTGAACTTCACTTTCAACCTCAGTCCTTGGATGAATGTGGGAAATGAGGTTGCTTTGTGCCTTGATAAAGGAAGCCCAGAAAAGCTCTTGTTTGTTATCAGCTAAGATTCACTCTTCCACCATAATTATTTCCCCTGGGACTTAAGGGGAAAGGGGTCACAACCTGGGATAACTTCCTCATTTGCCTCCATGGGGCTCCTGATTGACTCCAGGTGCCCTGAAACCAGGACCCTTCCGTGCTTCTTCAGGTCCCAGAGCCTGGTCCTGTGTCACACCCCCAACTTCCCAAGAGGATGTTACTGCCAAATAATTGTAGCCTATATAGCTCTCTTTGAAATTGCTTTCATGGGGCTGCCAACCAAGATCCCATCTCCTGAGCTCCATAAATAATAAAAACCTAATACGAATATGCACCAGCAAGCAAAAACAAACTTTCAAACCAGTCTTTGAAAACTGGCCATAGATTTGAGGCATCTAAGGGGAGGGG